ACTGGTACAGGAGGAGATTGTCCCTCCTTCTCCAGCAGAGCATCTGGTGGGTTTGAACCAGGCACATCTGGGATTGCAGTGTAGCTTCTTGCTACTAGGCCACCAGAGCTCCCTTGAGACTGTTCTTATGTTTGGCAATTACATAACGTAATTTGTCAGATAATGATGTGATCATCCTTTGTTTTTGCCTAATATTGATTTTCCCCCAGCATTCTGGTCTTTAGAACCTAACAATGTTGATAGATGAACAATGAGTTTACTGGGAAACAGCAGGGATCCATATTTGGCATATTATCAAGAGACATGGTGAGACTAGGTATTTTTAAACTTTGCCTGTGAGTCATTGGATTGGGTAATATTTCTGTCTACTTGAAGGTCTGGCCAACATTACGTTCATATTAGAGATGATGAAATTCAGCTCCTAATTTTATACCAGAAAGGGTAAATGTAACCGTAGCCAGTTGTTAATGATTTATGTTAAAAATATGAAACATTTTCTTTAAATATACTCATCATAAAACTGAGAAAAGTTTATTTTTTTTAAACGTACTCTTTCCTTTTGAAAAGGAAAACTTACTTTTTCTTTAGAAATTTATGAATGCAGTGTCACATTTCCTAATCAGTTTGAACTGATTAAAGACCTGTTTGAACCTTTCTGAAGTTTTGCTTTAAAGGAGTGTGGGAACTCATTGCAGTTGAGCTGGAATCAGCCCATGGCTGACCCTCTGGGGGTTTTCAGAAGCTTTAAATCACATGGCAGGAGGTTGCCCATCTTTTCTCATGCAGATTAGTTGATGAAATTGAAATGCCTGCCTTAAACTTGATGATTCTGAGAAAAATTATTTTCATTTCTCTTAGACTATTGATTCCTCATATTGAAAATAGAAATACCTTTTACTTGAAACATCAGAGAATATTAACTGTATTCATTGAAGTGGCTTTTTTTGTTTTGTTGTTTACTTTTTAAAACATTAATACGCTTTCCGCAGTCAACACTCTTGGCACTAGCAGCCAGGAAATGAAAAGATGTATTGCGATGGGAAAGTCTCCTGATAGGGACCTCTCCAAAGTACTAAAGAGCAGTGGTGTGTCTCTGTAGATTAAGGTGTGTCTGATACAGGCCATGGTCTTTGCAATTACTTGTTATGTTTCAGAGAGTTGGACAATGACTAGGGAGGATAGGAGAATTGATGCCTTTGAGCTGTGGTGCTGGAGAAGAGTATTGAATGTACCATGGATTGCTAAGATAACAAACAGATTCATCTTGGAGGCGACTCCTTGGAGGCAAGGATTCTGAGGCTTCATTTGATATACTTTGGACATGTAAGGAGGGATGGGTCCTTGGAGAGGGACATCATGCTTGGGGTGGAGGGACAGCGCAGGAGGGGAAGGCCCTCTATGAGGTGGATTGATTCAGTGACTGGGGTAATCGGGATGGGTGTGTCAGAGGCAGTGTGATTGGCACAGGATAGAACAGGGTTTAGGACTGTTGTACATAGGGTCGCTGTGAGTCGCAAGCGACTCGAAGGCACATAGCAACAACAACGCGCTTTCATACCTTTGATTGGGATATTGGTTCAGCAGTTGTTTGTATGTAACCTGAAGGTCCGCCAGTTCCTTGAGAACCGGCCATTCCTTGTGAGAAAGGCAGGCAGGATCCTCCTGTGAAGACTTATAGTCTTAGAAAATCAGTTGAGAGTTGCCATGAGTAAGAATTGATTAAGTGCTGAGCTGTCATCTGAAAGGTCCGGAATTCCAGCTGTCATCCTCTCCGGGAGAGAAAAGATTCAGTGATATTCCCTTATTGCAAGATTGCAGCTCAGGAAACCCTGTGGGCATATATTCTCTGTCCTGTAGAGTCTCTTTGCTGTGATGCTAAACACTGTGACACCGATGTGTCAAATGTGATAATGGTTACCCATGGTGGACAGTGTTTGGTGGCACACCCCGATGAAAACAAGCTTGGAAGCAGGAGTGACATCCACTTCCGAAATAGCTTGACTCCAGAAACCCTATAACCCTGGAGAAAGGATGAAAGTCACACAGGTGTTGAGGATTTTCGTTCATAGGGTCACTATGAGTCACCTACAACTCGACGATACTTAACAACAACAACAACAACGTAGGGTCTCTGTGAGGCAGTTCGAGGCCACACAGTACAAAACCATTAAAATAACCACAATCTGACTATCATTTAGCAGCCTGTTTGAATTGACTATTCTTTTCAAAGCTCTTTGTTTAGTCTCACATAGATTAACTGACAAAAGCATTCCTGCAGGCTTGGTGAAATCTCTAGTTACTGTACCAGTTCATTGTTAAATGTTAATGTTTACTCTCCTGTTAAACAATTTTGTTATTTTTTCTATCTTCACAGATAAGTTATTAGTCATAACTGTAGCAACAAAAGAAAGTGATGGATTCCATCGATTTATGCAGTCTGCTAAATACTACAATTACACTGTGAAGGTATGGTATATGCTTTTTTTTTATGATGATGTTAGAATATGTCCCTTTAGTATATTTTCTTTAACAATAGTAGTAAGATCTATTATTCATAAAAGAAAGAAAAGTTGGTGACATGATTATTGTCAGTTTATATAAAGTCGATTTTTATAAAGGCATCTTTCGGTTTTATTAATGCCCTGCCACTGAGGCATAATGAGAAATACTATAAATTTGTTAATACTTGCTATCTTCTCTAAACATGACATATACAATACAGACTTGTATGTGTATCTAGATTTATGTATATACACTTTTTTGTGTGGGATGGTTACATGTAATGTATACGTTACATTGATAGTATTGCTTTAGCATGCTCTTTGAAGATTTTTATTTGTGTCTATTATATTTAGAGTGTTTGTTTACAAGCAATTGTAACCATAGCAGAAAGGAATACCTTTTCTCTTTCCTTGTTGCAAGTTGGTTTTTTTTTTCTTTCTTTTTTTTGTTTAGTTTGGTTTTTAGGAATTTCAGAACATTTAGAAATGTAAAAAGGTAAAAAGGTCTTAGACTGCTTATCTCCAGGGGACTTTCTCATTGATGAGTGCAAAACTCGCGTTAGGTTCCTTTGAATTAACTGTGAACTGCAGACTCTCTATACAACAGATTGGAAGCTCACTGGGTTCTGTGACATCCTCACTGTCTCTCCCATGCCATGAATTTGAGTTGTTGTTAGGTGCCACTAAGTCTACAACAGTTCATGGCAACCCCGCGAGCAGCAGATCTGAACCCTCTTCTGTTATGTGCCATGCTCATCATTTCTGTCACCCGTGAGCCCTGTGCTGCTGTCACTGTGTCACTTCATCTTGTTAAGATGGACTTCCTCTCTTTTGCTGACCCTCCACCTTTACAAGCATGATGACCTCCTCCAAGGCAGAGCCTTTCCCAGCCATCCAGCTGTTTCTGAGGCTCGTTAACCTGTAGGGCAGAGTAGAACTGCTCAGTAGGGCTTTCAAAGCTATAGGTAGATCTGTGTGTGGAAGAAGATGGCTGTATCTTTCACCTGAGGAATGGCTGGTGAGTTTTAACCATTTCCGTTACCTCATGTCCGTTTACCACTGAGCTACCAGGACTCCTGTGGTAGCAATAGGACCAGTCTAACTTTAGCAGAGGGTAAGGTGAATCTTGCTCAGCCCAAGGCTCATCCCTGTGAGGGTCACTTATACCTCCACCTTTTACTGTTTATCAGTTATGATGCCAGCCATCTCTCCCACAATATTATCTATTCCTCTTCTGGGTTTGATACTCCATTGTAATGGCCACTCAGAGCTCATATACTATATTTACAGATAAATGATCTGTAAATAAAGGATCAATGAACTGCAACTCAAGATCAGGATTAGGAAGCATTAGGGAAAGTCACTCTTCTGTGCTGACAGGATTAGGAAGCATGAGGTAAAATCACTCTTCTGTGCATGACAGTTCTCTCAGCTCCTCTTAACAGTGCAGGTCTCCACTCTACCCCTCTGGACAGGTTCATCTGCTACTGGACCCTTTCCAGGCCTGTTGCCTCTGACTCTGCCCTTGAGTCAGTTCTAGACTTCTTACGGTGTCCTCTGTGTTACAGCCCTTGACTATATTACATGTCTTTGGAGGCTCCTTCTTCTCTCTCTCTGTCTCTCCATTTTTCTTTCTCTGCTGTTTTTTGGCATTTCCTCTCTTTTCTGCTGCTTCTGTTGCAGCTTTTTTCTGTCTTAGAAACCTCTGTGGGACCAACGGTTTAAACACACTGACTTCTTACCAATTTCAATCCATGGCACTCTTCATTGACACTCCTGGGTCAATGATAAACTACGAAACCAGAAGGCCTGTAGGATTTGCCAGCTGGATTCATCTTTATCTCAATACTAACGTTGGAGGTTTAATAATATATTATTTCCTAAATCCATTTTATTCTTTGCTTTTGTAATTATTTTTTCATTTGAGTCCACCTTTAATTCCACAGATTACCTAGCAGATCATTATTTTGGCAAATTCAGACATTATTTTGATGAGACTAAAAAAAAAAGAGAGTGTGTGTGTGTGTGTGTGTGTGTGTGTGTGTGTGTTTATTTTACTTCCTATGTTTTTAGAGTCAATATGTCAATAGTTCACTTCCATTTCAGCAGCTGCAAAAATGAAGACAAATAGTGGAAGGAAATGTAACTGAGTTTGCTCCAGTAAATTTGATTTAGACAGACTTTTGCCTTGAACAGTTCTTATTTATGCTTCTCAGAGTAATAGAAATTGGAGATTCCAAAGGTAAGATATAGTCTGATGGTGTAGGTCATAGGGAGTTGCACTGTGAACCCCATGGCTCTGCATCTTTGTTGGTTCAAATCTCCATGAGAGGATGAACAGTTTCCTCCTACGTGATTGACAGCCTTGGAAAACTTACAGAGGATTAGCTAAGATAGTTTTGACTCGGTGGTTGTTGGGTTTGTTTGTTTGTTTGTTTGTTTGTTTAGGATTTTTGTTTATTTTTAGAAGGTAAGGATAGTGATGTTTTTACTTAGTGCCCTCTGTTTCTCTGAACACTCTATTTTGGTCCAATAGGAAAAATCCCTCAGGGACCAGCTCAGGGCTCACTGACCTTAAGAGAACTTCAGTGTTCACCATACACATTACCTGTGAGGTAGAAAAAATAGTATTGTGGGGTTTTTTTGGTGTTTTGTTTTCCCCCCTCCATGTTTTGTCTGCCCAGGTAGGGAAAAAATATGAGAAATACTTTTTAAATTCTTCATGTTGCCCTCTTGGATTAAACTCTTTGTTTTTTGAAATTATATAGTTAAGAGATGCATTTACTGGCACGTGGGTAGCATTAAGGAATTAAGACTTCTCAGTATCAAGTATTTCCTTTTAGCATTATGATTTAAACAAACATTACACAAATGATTTCTTTGCAATACTGTACAAGTTGTTGATGATTTCTAGGTTTGATTTTTGGTGTTTTTATCAATCTTTAATTTGACAAGGATGAAATGTTGATTTCACTTGAAGGTCCTTGGTCAAAGAGAAGAGTGGAGAGGTGGCGATGGAATCAATAGTATTGGAGGGGGCCAAAAAGTGAGATTAATGAAAGAAGCCATGGAGCAGTATGCCAGTCAAGAAGATCTGGTTGTGTTGTTTACTGAATGGTAAGAGACTTTGCTACCTTTAGTGTGTTACAGCTTGTGGTGTTTAGAGTATACATGAAACTTAAGAAAAATACATTTCTATTATTATATTGTGTATTATGCTATTGACAAAATTTAGTATATTTTAAAAACTTAGATATTAGTATAAAATCATGGTCTAACATGGTCATGCAATGTGATCAAAGTTGATGTATTTGTCATAAACACTAATGGAAAATATGGCATGAACCAACATTTGTTTTAAAATTATACTTGAATATTGAACTAGAGATGGAATGAATATCATGTTAAGTTTTTCTACTGAGGACAGATATATATTAACTCAAAGAGATGTTATCAATGAGGGAATAAAGATCATATAACATTCTAAGTACAAGTAGGACATAAGAAATGATATGCTTTCTCATGTGTGGGTACCTTTTGTATATACTACTTTACTATCTTTCTAATTTGTTTGAAATGGCTTAAAGTATTTTCTCATTGTCTTGGTTTCTCAGTGCTTTTCTAACAGAAATACCTTAATTGGGTGACTTTAATGAACAAAATGATGTTCTCTCTGTCCGAGTGTAGGGTGCTGGCTCTCAGGACAGGCTTTCTTTCTTTGTTACCTTTGAAGGCATATTCCTCTGTCTTTTCAACTTTTGTTTCTATGTTCCTTGGATTTCTTCATGTGACATCTGGTTTGTCCTGGGTCTGTGTCTAAGCTGCTCCTTTTAGATCTGAAAAGTGATTGATTTAGATATATATACCTTACACTGATATATCCTCATTATCACAACAGAAAAACACTATTTCCAGATGGGAAATAGTGGGTAAAGCCCCATCTATTTCTGGGGCTTTCCTTTTTGCTAGTTCTTTCAAAGCAGCTTGAACTTCTTCCTTCATCACCATAGGCTCTTGCTCTTGCGTTGTTTCATGAAATTTTTCTGTGTCTGCCAGTTCCTTTCAATATAGTGACTCTGTATACTCTTTCCATTTTCTTTTACTACTTCCTGGATCATTTAATAATCTACCTAAAGCATCCTTGATTATAGCAACTC